TATAGGCATAAATTGGGAAACGCTGTAAGATCGTCATGAAATCAGAGATGAGCAAAATTTGTATCTATATAGATAAATATTTCTAAGAATGAATGATAGATAAACAATTAAAATAACTTTACATTGTCCTTATCTGTCATTTATTATTTCAATAAAATTTTGCTCATCTCTGCCTCATCCATTTTTGTGTTAAAAATATTTCGTGTTTTGTTCGTTAATTTTCTCTTTCATTTCCTTTTCTATGACTCACACTGGTTCTCTTAGCTTTTAAAGTTTCGATTTTGAGTAAACACTTTTAAAAGTGATCAATTTTTTAAAACATTTTAAAGACAACAAATTTAATATTATATAGAATATTATTCATAAGGGTTTTTAATCGAATAAAAAACGTTAATTTAAATGGGTTAAGTTTTATTCGTTTCACGTCCTCTAATTAAGTTTACCGTGACTCTCTAATCAAATACTAATAATTACTGTTTGTTTTCAAAGGATTAAAAATAAAATACTTTTTTTCATAAAATATTACGTTCTAGATCGATCTTTTCAATTTGATTGGTGACCGAAGGAAACACGTTATTACACATACAATATACTGAATACTCTTCTGTACATGAGATAATTCATTTAATACATTATACAAAGTACAAATAGTCTAATATTTATTTTCGTAGTGACTTTTATGTACATAAACAATCATCAACAATGAAAATTTCATAAAAACGTCGTCATATAAGTATTTGAGTATTATGTTGTCGCAGTTTTTATAAAATTTTATACTTGTCACGTCTCTTACATTTTTTACATTTATCTTAATAATAAATATAAACATATTAAATGAAACGTAAGAAAAGAGTACACAAATATTTGTTGTTTTTCCAAAATCTAAGAAAATGACAAAGTACGTTACCATAGTATGTACACTTGATAAATTATATTATCACAATATGGAACGTCGCTGCTGTAGATATGGATTCTAATCATTCGATCACATCCAGTATTTGTAACTGTATGAATGGTAAGCAAACGTACAAATGATGTAAAGTGTATTCACGTACTTTACACATACACATATATATACAATGTTACTAAATGATATATATCATATATAAAATTCTGTAACATTAAATATATATGTACATGGGTATTCTTGCAATGATTAGAACTCTGTTCTTGGTACAAATTATCCGCTCAATACATATTACAAATAATGAAATAAAAATATTTTAAAGTACTTCCATACTATCTATATCTACTCCAACATCAAGAAAGTCTTCTTCATAGTCTTGAATATGCCTTTGGACAAGTGGCTGTTCCGAATGATCTGGATCATCTGTTACAGGGCTAGGTGGGGGATTAGTTACTGTACGATCAGAATCCATAGGCATTCTATCCATGCCTTCTCCGCGTCTTAATCTCGCTTCTTCAGCTATTTCCCGCGTAGAAAGTTCTGCCTTTGTTAATAAGGCAGGAAGATCTTTTTCTGAACCATCTATGCGAAAAATATTTTTGTTATACATTGACTTTGAAACAACACTTGCTATCATTAAGACAAAACAATGCTTACTTTCTAGGCATTTAATTAGTTCTTGTGCTTTCTGCCTCCTTGCATTAGCGTCAGACTTTTTTTGGTCGGCGATCTCTTTTTTATCGTCGTAAAAAATTTCTCTTATTTTTTCTTGAGGGATGTGTTTATCATTTTTTACTAACCATAAATAAACACCCCCCGCAGTTCTTCTTCTTGATCCATTCATTATGAGCATACCACCTCCTTCTTCAATTTTTTTTGTTTCTTGGAAGAAATTAATAGCTTTTTCTTTGCCAATTATATCTACAATTCTTCCTGTAAAATGCAGAAGTTATTTAAATATATGTACATATACATACACATATACATTTTAGATATAAGCAATCCTTACTTATAAGGAGATTTTTTTTCTCATTAAGTTTCGATGATATATCAGTAGCTACATCTGCATCGGTCGATTCATTTGTTGTACTTAAATCTGCTATTTTTCGTACAGCTCCTTTTTGATTATCTACATCCATTGAATTACGTCTCTTTCCTAATCTTAATTTAATATTACTTCTATCAGAGTTTGTTCTTTTATTCGTTAATCTCCTTTCACCATCCTTCTCATCCTCTGAACTATTATTGTTACGATTCTCCATATTCCATTCACAATTTACAGCATAATGGTGAGGAACGTTATAATTCTCAACATTACGCTCCTGGTATCGTTTTTTTGTTACACCACACAATACTAAATCTTCCGTTAAGGATTCCTCTTGTAATTGAGTACACCATATTTTGTACTTATCACTTCTGCCTCCCCAGTTTTTGGTTGAATTTCTAGATCGTTTCAGTTTTAATTTAGGTCTTTTACTTCTGATACGACCAGAATCTGAATCAGAATCACTGTCTGTGTCCACAGAATCATCGGATTCATCGCTATAACCCATTTTTACATGTTCCTCTTTATTTGGAACTGGATGAGGTCTTTCCAAAACATTGTACGTTTCGATGTCGTTTGCCTAAGTAAAGATACATTAAAATAATTAATGTGTACAGTGGGACATAACACTAAGAGATGCTACTGCTCTTTATGGAATATTTTAAACAATTCTAACACCCACAGAGTACAAACAAGCTTCGTAATTTTATTAATGAGATTTAAATTAAAGTGATTTTAATTCAAATGCAAACATTAACGATCTAATATAATTTGTTGAGCTTGAATAGGTTAGACGCCTGTCAAACAATAAGTTTATCAAATATCTGACCTCGTCATCGATAACTTCGCCTTCCTCAAGTTCTAAGGGTTCTGCTTCCATATTCTTCTTTTTCAAAAATGACAATTTCTTCGACGAACAATTACTGAATAGAATCAGTCAGCGAATAACTCTGAACAAGTTCTTTCGACTACTCCTATTTTAACGTAAATTTTTTCCACCGCTCCATTATTGTCGCCACCACTGTCGGTGTGTTCTATGCTATCAGTAACATTCTATCTATGCATCAACATGTTTCCCTTTGATTGAAAATAGAGGGCTCCAAGTTTCTGGCGCCATTATCGTTCTCGATTCTGATTGGTGAGAGGTTAAATGTTGTGAATATAATTAGCACGTTCTACTACTATTCTGTCAACGTTTCTTTTATTGAATCGAATATTGTTACTAAAGTGGATAGTTTGAATTAATTATCACTCAGACAGCACAAATTTTGAAACATATAGCTGGCGCCATCTACGGCAAAACGACTAAGTTTGACGTAAAAATAGTTTCTGCTAGTTCAGCTAGATGACACTAGCTAATAATTAATTCAAACTATTCACTGTAGTAACGATATTTCAGTCAACAAAAGAAACGATGATAAGATAGTAGTATAGGTGCCAATTATATTCAAAGTTTTTGACCTCTGGAATTATTTTTACGCCAAATTTAGGCGTTTTGCCGTAGATGGCGCTAGCTATATGTTTCAAAATTTGTGCAATCTGAGTGGTGAAAAGTCAAAAACTTTGAATATAATCAGTACCTCTACTACTATCTTATCATCGTTTCTTTTGTTGATTGAAATATCGTTACTACAGTGGATAGTTTGAATTAATTATCAGGTAGTGTCATCTAGCTGTACTAGCAAGAACTATTTTTACGACAAACTTAAGAATTTTGCCGTAAATAGCGTCACCAACATGTTATAAAATTAGTTCAGCCTATCCACCGCTAGATGGCGATACCAACGTCACCCCGTTGGAGCGCGAAAATATTTGTATTTGAATAAAACGAAATTCTAGTCATGCAATTAATAGAAATATATATCCTTTTAACATGTTTCTATACCTAAATATATATTATTTATACATACAGATAAATCTGTAAACAGAATATTTTTGTAACGTCGTTTTTTCTACCAATATCAAAGCCAAAATAAATGAATTTCTGTAATTTTTGTTTGTTTTTCTGCCTGTATTCTTCTACGAAAATTCAAATACAGCTCAACATGATTTTATCAAATTTGGTCAAATTTTGTACATGTGTAGACATCTTTTCAATTTACAGAACAGGCTATTTTACATCTGCATTAATTAATTTTTACCATGTCATTATCCAATATGACGCTGTAAATGTTGAGAAAAGTAAAGGAGTTTAATATTTTATTTTTTAATAACAAACCCTCTCTACGTAAAATTGCATCGATTGGAATCGATGAAAATTGCAATAAAGCATCAATTAACGATCGTTAGATTGAATCTAGAGCATCTTTTTATCATTCTTATCGCCTAGATAAGAGTCTGCTTGTTATATATTGAGGCGATAGAGCGCGTATGCACATAAAAAGATACTTTAAGACATTTGCTCCAAGCATGAGCAACATCAATCATCGCGCATTTACACCCTACCAGTGGAATTGATTGAGTTGTCAACTGCATTTATTGCGTACACGATCATACAGTTCGCTTCCTGAACTTCATTCGCGACGCGCGTGGTGTACTTCGTTGTAGCGTTACTATTTTTTGATGCTGAAGGCGCCTCGAATCGACAAACAAAAAAATTACAAGTATCGAATTCCTGATAAATTTCTATACATTGAATTTTCAATCTACGATTTTTTAAAACATTTTTAACACGTACGAAAAATATTTTAATATCCGCTCGATCAATTTGTCCATGTCGCGTTTGTGAACTTGGTGAACTGTGTTTTTAGAGGAAAATCCTCGCTCAGGTAAGTGAGAGACAATTGTAATACGTCTATCTCTTGATTAAAGTGATTAATTGATTAATGAAAATACTGTACAAGTACATCCAAAGTTTCTAAATAATACAAAATAAAAAGAAGATGGTAGATGAAGTATAAGTTGTGGGTGCTAGAAATTAGAGAAAAGGGAGAATAGAAATAGAGATGAGATACAGTTAATCGGAAGAAAATATGCTTATTGCAGGGCCGGCGTGACCTTTTGCGGGGCCTGAATTCACATTCAAATCCTATACTTGAATTTTACAACGATGAATCATTTATTTACAGATGCTATATATTTTTTATAAGATGAATATTCAACAATAATACTTTGATGATTTTTGTCATACCTTTCAATTTAAGCATCGCTACTAAAAAAATGTTTTGCATCTCAGCAAAAATTGCTTCCATTCGTTAATGGTATCATCAGACCGTAAAAAGTTAATCGAAATCGGTACCTTTTAATTCAGTAATTTTCGTAGACCGCGGGGCCTTTTAAAACGCGGGGCCGGGTTCCGGCGAACGCGCTGTACCTACCTTGCGCCGGCCCTGGCTTATTGTAAGATTAGATTTTATTAATTTCTTTGATCTATTATTGTGTCTGCTTTGCATTCGACACAATTCAAGACACTTGGAAGTGTTCTTAAAAATATCACACAATTCGGGGGGAAGCTTCTTGTATGCACGTTTCACAGAAACGTCGTTCAATCAATAAACAAATTATACCATAGTAACATGGTTATTCGTTACGTGGTGTAATGGTAAAATTGCATGATTGCTAGCCAAGAGTAGCAAGTGCAAGATTAGAAATCAATTGTTACTATTGATATGAGTGGAAAGGGATAATACATACGTTGTGCGTAGTGTTTACGAGCTTCCTTACGATGAAAACATCAGGCTGTCATGACAGTGTCATGGCTGCCTGATTAGCGTCGCGTAATCACCTCGACAACATAGGTATTCTGTGCGGGGAAATCAAGGTTGAAGGTGTGAGCTGGTAAGGGACTTTTACGTTGAAGAAGTGATTCGTAACACGATTACAAGCTCATTATTTAACGTAATCAAAGAGAATATGCAAAAAATGTAAATATATAATAAATGAATCAATAACGCCATCTAGCGGCAATAGTGAGGATTATTTTTACGACAAACTTAGGCGTTTTGCCGTAGATGGCGCCAGCGATAAGCTCGAAAATTAGTTCGGCCTTTCCACCGCTAGATGGCGATACCAATTTTTACCCTGTGAGAAGACTTCAATTTTTATATTTAACTAAATTCAAATTTAGTTATGTAAGTAATGGAAATTCTGCCTTCTTCCATGTTTCTATATCCTCAAATAATAGTTTTATATTGAAAACTGCATATACGTGTATTTAGAAACATGTCTTATGCACATTATTGAAGTAAATGCAGTAAATTTTCTTTTTACACGGATAAAAAAACATGTCGTTCCTTGGAATGTCTACTTTAGAAAAGCACAGAATTAATTTCCATCTACACTATATACACAAGTATTTATATAGTGGGTACACTATATAAATAAACAAAAACCTTCTCGATCTGACGTACCCTCGAAACATTTCTAGGGACACCTCGAGAATGGAAAAGGAAGACATCATCCTGACCCCAGGTCAGCGAATACGACCACCTGGTGGGGACCAACTGGCCTCTGATCTCCTCCAGAAGCTCTACGGCCTGAAGACAACCCATGTGACCGAATTGAACGCGTACGACGACCGTAACTACCGCGTCCTTTGCGAGGATCTTCCATCCAATCCTCATATACCTTCCATCAGCAAGCACGGCTACGTCCTGAAGGTCGTCAACTCTCTGGACTCGCGGAAGACACAGGTGATAGAGGCCCAGACGGAGATGCTGATCTTCCTGAACCAACGAAACGTTATCTGTCCCGAACCAGTGAAAAACCTAAACGGATCCTATTACTCCCTGGAGAAACTGAAAGCGAACGGTTCCACGGACAGCTACGCGGTGAGACTGCTGGTGTATCGACCCGGAGAGCTTCTGCATCGGGTACCAATCACTGGCGAACTGCTTCGACACGTGGGCAGGTTCACGGCCAACCTCGACCAAGTTCTCACAGGTTTCTCCCATCCCGCCTACGACGACCACAGCACTCTGTGGATGTTGACCTCGGTGCCCAAGCTGCGTCAGTTCACTTACGCAGTGAGCGACGCGTTACAAAGAACGCTGGCGCACCAGGTGATACACGCCTTCGAGCAAAACGTCCTCCTGGCGATCCCCCAGCTGGAGCAAGGCGTCATACACGGGGACCTGAACGAGCAGAATATCGTGATCAGTCCTAACGGCAGGGACATAGCCGCCGTGATAGATTTCGGGGATTCGCACAGGGCTTGTCTGATATTCGAGCTGGCCATCGCTCTTTGCTACATGATCCTGCAGGCTGGCGACCTAGCGATGGGCAAGCACGTCGTCGAGGGCTACCAAGAGGTCAGGAAGCTGACCGATCTGGAGAAGAGTATCCTGAAGGTCACCGTGTCCGCGAGGATCTGCCAGAGCCTCGTCATGGGCGCTTACTCTCATATCCACGATCCTCAAAACGAGTATCTCCTTATCACGCAAAAGTCGGGATGGAGTTTGCTGAAGAAACTTTGGCCGCTCGATCAGGAGGAGGTTCTGCGTATTTGGGGATTGATGGACTGATGGGGAGAAATGTGATGGCTTTGAGTGGGGAAGAACGGGATGATTTCGAGGGGGATGACATTAACTGGTCGCTCGGGGGGCTCCCCTTTCTTTGTTGATAGAGATTTTCGAGTGAGAAAAGTTTTTGGGTGAGAGAGAAATTGTTTTGGAATTATGCTCGGTATTTTTACGAAACTCATTACAATACGTAAAGTACACAAGGATAAGGTGTAGTCAACGATTATGAGCCTTAATATAGCGAGATTGGGGTATTACTAAGAAAAAAACCTGAATTTATGCATATTCTTATTGATTACTTTCGCAATGGTAACGTCACGGTGAAACTGCGGAAATAAAAATCGATTCTAAGATTCACAGGTAAAGAAACAATTTTAATATTGAAAAATCAGTATTAAACGCAATCAGTACAAAGTCAGTATTACATGCAATTGGTACAATCATAGCGATAACACGAACGACCAGTTGATTTCCATGCGACTATAGCAATAAAAATCTTATTCTTATATAGTTTGTATCGTCACGATCAATTTTATAATGTCAATTAAATAATATAATCATTTAATATAAATAAGCTTGTTAAATATGCTTAAAATCGTTAGGAGCTTCCAGCTCAGTTTGAACGACGTTCGAATACCATTGTCAATTAGTGAAGCAATAAATACACCCATTTAAATAAATTTACAGTTGTTTCATTGAATGAATCTCTTGGAGAAATTACTTAAGGTACTGTGCAGTGATATATCCTCTGGTTTTATTCGTATTTAGGCAGTTACATATTTACATAGATATAATGAACAATAATGCTCTTCGTATAATAGTGTGGAGTCATTTTACATAACTAGATCGTGGTATATACAAAAATGCAGATATCGTAAATTAATTCACGGTGAAATTCGTGTGTTACTGGCAGACGACATTAAAGAAAAACACATACCTTGTGTGTAAACTGGATCGAATAACAATTACCGTGGACTTTAATTACTGACTAAAATGTCTTGTCGAAATACATGGATAATGTACAGAATTTGCACGTAGTTATACCGTAAAGACAATAAATATTTCGATCCTGGATAATACGCTGTTACCTGCGCTTAAGGTGAAGAAGTTAATTTTTTCTTTATCCGCGTGCGCTTTCATCTTATTTACGTAGCTTGTAATATATATATATATATTTATATATATATATTTTTTTTGTATTTCGATTTCAATAATATACTAATTTATTTATATCTCATTTCATTTACGTCAGCTCGTTTTGGCAAACTGTCTAGCTGTGTTGAGGCAAATTCGTTGATAGCGAAAATCTGTTCACAATATCGTACAAACGAGATTGAAAGTTGGACGTGAAAAATTCAACGCAAGAAAGAAACGTACGGGGGCTCGAGATTCGTGCTCAAAACAAAGTAGTCTTTATTTCGTGTATATATATTCTCGTAGATAGGGATGAAAATTAATTTAAAAGAATTTAATTATCATAGATGAAAATAAACGTGACCGTTTGCGTGTGTATGTAGTCGCACGCGACCAGAGGCACACAAGTAAAGTTTCATTTTCCTTTATGAGCTGTCTCGGCTAACAATGGAACGTTCATGTTAACGAATTTTCGCCAGAGGTTATTAACAAAATAGTATATTACAGTACCTATATAATTTTATTGCTTAGAATCTATTGGTTTGCGTACGCCCGACGAAGCGCTCGCAGGCGTATAATAATTCATTTATTTAACTTATGTCGTTAGTAACTTCGATAACTTCTTTATTTCCATTTCATCGTACGTTTTAACTTAACATCCGTCGTTCGTTAATATAATCTATACTTTATTTTTTATCGTCGAAATCAGAGGTAACGTCGCAATAAATACACCGCACATTTACTCCGAGGAAACGTAACGAGGTAACAAACATGCACGGAACGGTACGCTTGGAATGTTTTGAAGACGTCTCGGGAGAAAATAGATAAGAGGAAGGTGTGTTGACGTTCGATGATGCCCGGGCCCAATTGCAGGGTGGCCAGGGACCTCGAGCTTACGCGATGAAATAGTTGGGGGAATTTGCGTGTTTTTATTACGAATATAATCTGGTAACGTTAACAGTTTCGACACGAAGGGCGATATTACTGCGATTTCTCTCGAAATTACGTTTCGAATACATCGATAAGACTTATCCAGCAGACCCTGTGTTGCTAACCTGTTAGTTGTTCGAACAGTTCGAAGGGCATTAAAATTAGAGGAGTACAGATCAGGTCTCTTCCCCTGCGAGGGGTCCTGATGGGTAACGTTGAACACCGAGAACAGTTCACAGAAGAAGCGTAGCGTTTTCAGTCTTCGGGTAAATGATTCCATCGCGCGCTTTCGAAATCCGATTGAGCGAATCGGTCGATCGTGCGTCGTCGAAGTGTACGTAAAAAAATAAAGCCTCGAAGAACGAATTTTTGTGCCGTCCTTTAACGGAGCGCGGTTGAGTAGACAAACTGGGTACCGTTCAGCGCTCCCTTCTGCCGTAACAGTTTCAACTATCGAACAGAGATGGGCAAAATTTTACTCGAACGATAGACAACGAATAAAATCAACTTACAGCAATTTATCCGTGACGTATACTCGATTAGGGAAATACTCGTCGTTTCATTTTCGTTGAACGAGTAACGGAGCAAGCGATCGTCCATCTTTCGTTCGCCGTACGAAATTTCTGTCTCGACGAGAATTCTGCCCATCTCCGAGATTGAATAGCTTCAAAGCTCGTCTTTCGAAACACCAACCGCGATGATTTATCGTTCGCGAACAGTTTCCTCTCGAGGATACGATTACGGTTTTCTACTATTCTCGTCGAACTTCAACAATATAATTTCTCGAACTTTCTCGTTTATTCTTTTTCCCCCTTTTTTTTCTTTTTTTAAGCTTTTATTTTTTGTTGGACGAATGCCAGGAATTCCCTCGTTCTCCCCTGGGTCACGCGCGCAATTAGGAACGGTGCCAAACTAACGGGTTACACACGTTCGGAAATTATAGCTTTAATTAGCACACAATTAGGAATCGGATTCTTATTGAGGGGAGGGGCGGGGGCGCACGAAGGTCTCGGTGCTCAGACGCGAGTACGTTGGTTCGGTGTTACAGAGAAGTGCAAAGGGTACGCGGGGGGAAGGACTGAGTGACGATTACCAACGAAAGTAATTTGTGGTCGCACTTGAATGTTTCTGTTACGCGACGAACGTGCTCGAAGATTCGAACGCTGAACTTTCCCTTTTCCCTGTTCGCTCGATTCGCACAGGTAATCGGACAGGTAATCTTCGGACTCGTTGCCACGATCTGCGGTACTTCCCACGCGCGATTCTCGACGCATCTCGACCTAACGTTATCATTCGTGCAACAATTGTTACCGATGACCTAGCGGCACGATTGACAGCACTGCTTCTGGTAAAGGGGCACCCTGCACATGTTCATCGTCTTCACCCTGGTGCAGAGCTGCGAGTGGTCCTTGCAGTCCTCTGGAATAGCGTGGATAAGGATCCTGTTCTTAATTTCATTTCTTTCAACTGTATTAAATTTGTGGCGACGACGAGGCGACGTCGCGTCTCTGTCTTACGTTTAGTTTTTTAAATGGTACGGCTGGATGAATGGAACGAGGTTCGTGATGTACGACAGTGTTGAGTAAATGTTAAATTATTGGTTCGAATTTCGAGCGAATGCTTATATGATTAGGTAGAATGTTCCTTAGGGTGAATGCGTTTATTTAAACAGAGTGCAAGCGATAGGTGAGAACGAACAAAGAATGTCTGTGATGCGTGAGCGAACTAATGGTTAGTTCGTAAGTCAGTCATGTCAGAGAGTTCGTCGAGACGAGTCACTCGAGCTACGCGAGTGTCTCTAAAATGCTTAAAATATGTAACGGTCTTAATTCGGTGGCCAGGGACTGTATTTCATAGAGAACGTATTACCTGGCGTTTGAGGACACGGTGGACCCCTGCACGTCTTCATGACAGGTGGTCGTGGGATGTCCCTGCACGCGTTGCCAGCTGGTTTCTTCGTTCCGAACCACACGCACTGGAGAATCCTGTACTTGATGCCGTCCTCCTCGCAGGATGCTGTACACTGTTGAGTGTAATCGAAAGTTATGGTCGTAAGTGAAGCTTCGTCGATACTTGTACAAAGAAGATTAGAAGATCAAACAGGATCAAGTCTATGTACAAGGTTGACTTTGATATAATTAAAAGAATTCAGGAAACGTACTTCGGACCATTCGCCAACTCTCCAAACGCCCTTGCAGATGTCGTTGTAGCACTCCTGCCTCTGCAGAGGTCTGGCAGTGTCGTCGCATTTGTTGGGATCCAGCAAGGTGACGTTCTGCTGGCCATTGTCCTCGTCGTCGACCAAACGGCAGGTGACGTCGCGTCTCTGCATCGCTGTTTTCCAGTTGAAACATCTGGACGTCTCGCAGGGGGTCCATTCCGTGGTATGCCATTGAGGACATTTTCCAAATCCGCATGGTCTGACCTTTTGAGGCACCGGATGTCCAGCGTCCTCGCATAGCGTTGCTCCTATCACCGTTCTTGGCGCCACTCGAGTCGAGTTTCCGATTGGTTTCGACGAACGCACCGTGCACTGAGCTCCGCGCATCTTAAAAGATGCGAGAAGGTTAGATACTTTTTGAATGAACTTAATCCTAGGTGATCCGGGAAGTGATTGTCTAAACAGAAATTGCATTACCTGAAATCCGCTTCCTCCACAGGTTTGAGAGCACTTGGACCAGTCCGTCGTCACCCACTCGAACAGAAGGTCCTCGTTGGCGTCTGGAAGTTGCGTTAATTAATTATTAACAATAAATTTTTAGCAAAAGGTTGTGTGATCCTCCTCGGATGTAGTTGGAAGTTCAAACCTTGGATTTTTATATTTTTTTTCAAATCGTATCGGCGGGTTTATATTTATGCAAGTTTTAATTTCAATTTTACTAATTTCTATAATTTTAAGATTAAAAATCTTTTTATTTTCGAACAGCCGAAATTCATGTTCCGTTATACAGGGTGTCCTAAAAATGTTGTAACACCTTGAAAAGGGTGATTCGGGAGATGATTTGAAACAACTTTTTCCTTAGCGAAAATGTCCGAGGCTTCGTTGAGGAGATATTAACGGAAAACACTGACCAATCAGAGCGCGCGGATACCGTTGGAGCGGTCGCAGTAGCAAAGGCTACGAGCTAAGCGGCCGCGTCCAATGTCCTTCGATGCACGTCGAGTCGCTTGTTCGCGTTCTTCGCTACCGCGGCCGCTCCAACGGTATACGCGCGCTCTGATTGATTAGTGTTTTCCGTTAATATCTCCTCAACGAAGCCTCGGACAACATTTTCGCTAAGGAAAAAATTGTTTCAAATCACCCCCCGAAATACCCCTTTCAAGGTGTTACAACATTTTTGGGATACCCTGTATGGTGAAAAATGCTGTGAAGCGATGAAATGGGTGGTTAGTAACAGAATAAATATCTCCCGTTACACAGTTTGAAAAGAACAGCAAGGGTTGATTATACCATAGAAAGGTCATACAACTTAACTTTATTTATTTCATTATTTATAATACAGGAGAACAAAGAAATTTACTATGTGTACTTCCAAGGTGAAAGAGCAGGATATCTGATTTCAATCCTTCACCGAGTTGCTAGATAAAACTAAACAATGCATCTTCTATCTCTTCTATACTAACGAAGCCTTCCATAGAAGTCAACAAAGAAACAAATCTTCCGAGTTAAACGATATTAAAATTAGATTAAATTTCCTTACCTATAACCGTAAGCGACGCGCCAATGGAATCGATGGTAGTGTTCGTCCTAGTTGTAGTAGCCATAATATCCGGTTTGCTGGTCTTCTCGGTCCATCCATTGGTGGAGCTTTCACGAGAATCAATCTCGTCCTCCGCCGAATCCTGATCCTTCTCCGTCGCGGTAAGCCCTCGATCCTCGGTCGCTAGATCACCGACATCTTCCTCCAGGTCCTTGGAACTCATCGTTCGAGCCACATCGTCGTTGACGGTATCGTTCTCCACGGTCACCCTCCGTTTCTTCATTTCATCTTCGAGCATCTCCCCGTTTTCTTCCGTCCTGTCCAATACCGCTTCTTCCTTATCTGGTTTCCCCGAAACGTCGTCTAATCCCTTCAACGACATCGTGGCGTAAGCGTGTTCGTGTTGGTTTTCAGAACTGTCGTGATTCCTTCGATTGGTCCCTATCCTGTGAGATTTTTCGGAGCTTTCATGGTTGGAACTGGTGTCTGGAATATGATACACCCCCAAGCTGACGCCATCCGACGTGGTCTCCGCTTTGAAATCTTTCGTTTGATCCTTGAGAGTGGAGTTCCAGTGGGTCTTTGCGTCTGGGGTATTTTGCCATTGCCTCTTCACGTTCTTCAGCGATTCCTCGACGTAGTCGGAGATCGTAGGCGTCGCTAGATTGTCTTTGCTAGCAACAGGTGTGATCTTCACTGGTTCGCTGTGCTGGAGCTCGTACACGGACTCGTCCAAGTCGTAGGCATCGACGTCGATGAATATCCTTTCCTCGTCTGGCCCGAAGATCTGGTCTGGAATGGCCGTGTTGCGGTACAAACTGTCCAAGTTCTCCTCCACGTTCTGGTACCTCAGACCGGAAGTCCTGTTTGGCATGGTGCGTTTCGCCGCCACTGCTTCTTTTCGTACGTCGTCGATGTACGTTAATGGGGCGGTCCTGTGGGACCTTCCTGAGGAACCTTCGCTTTTGAAGGGCCAGTACTCCTAGGGAAGGATTAACAATTAAAACGCACGATTTGAGTTTTCGTTGAACGACGACGACAATTAGGGGAAGAGAAGAAATGCGTGAGTTCTCAAGTGAGCAAGATGTCGGGTCATTTTGTAAGTCTCTGAGTATTTATCTGCTTCGATTGTTAACCGTGGCTACTCGATTAGAAGTTAAATATTTTCTTGGAGTAAGGTTACTTTGGTATAAATGTGCAGAGACTTACGAGATGATCCGGTGAAGATAGAAGGGGGAGTTAACGGAAATAGCTTGGATATGTTTCACAGATAAATGAAAAGGGAAGTTGAATTGGACGATTAGTCTTGCTGGCATAGTTTGCTCAGATGGTCTTACCTTTAAATTCGATATAAAATAAGTTAAGTGCGGTATGAGAGCAGAGGCACTTGACGATGCGGTTGATTCCACGGATTCGTGGTATCCTGGCTGATAAATTAACAATATCCATCACCATACAAAGTTTGTCCACGCGTATAGAAAGCAGGAAAGTAAAGAATTAGAGACGGAGAATTAGTTCATCATGCGTTCATCCAGGTATTTAACCTTTTAATTGCTTCTCGAGTATATTCGTACAATACTATTTTATTCTAAATGCTGAAGAGAACACTGTGTGAACGTTGCATATTTACAAGAATAATTATTAAAAAATGTATTGCGAGGATAATACAGCGTAGAGGTCCTTTTTTGTATCCACTGACTCAGCAATGAAAAGATTAAAAATATTTTCGAGAGTGGAATTAAGGATACGATCTTAACGATCTTACCTGGTTCTGCGAGGTTACGGTGTGTTCTTTGCGTAAGAGTGTGGAATCTGGCGGTGTCGGGCTGGTCTTTTGCTTCCTCTGGTGTGGCTTCGTCGTTGGTTTGCTAGTAAACGCTCGCTCGTGACTCAAATCTTCGCTGTCGATGGGTGCGAAACGATTCCCATAGGCGGCTGCAGCAGATTTGTTTAAAATCATTATACAGTAAAGTACCCATTAATGGACAAACTGAGGACTGAACTAGTGTATTTATGGTAGAGATATTTGTGCATTTATGGAGACTTTACTGTAACAACCTTTTGCAGGATAACGTGAATAATGCCTATGAATTATTATTGAGAATAATACAGTTTAAATCTTCTATGGCACACAAAATCATAATCTACAATGTAGGAGTCTAAACGAAAACCTTAGCTACGAAAAACGAAAGCTTTATCTACACGACCAACCCCGTACCCTACGTTTCGTGTTCTCGTTTCGACTCCTTATTGTTGGGTGTGGGAGGCGCAGATACTACAGTAATATCGAATTTAATATCATTTGTATACCAAAAAAGATTAAACCAGATTTAAACAGTTTAAACAATAAACGAGTTAAACAATATTTATGGATCGGAAAACGTGATAAATAATGCTGCAACAAATCTTTACCCGCCCGATCGGTGTAAAGACTTTCACCAGAATTCGCTGGCGCTGAATCCAAGTTGGCGTTTCGTTGAAGATGGACGGAATTGCTAAGTCGCAAATATTCCTCGCTGCTTAGCTGCTCCTTGGAGCGAAATTTTACTATCAGTTGCGTCTCCGCGTGCGAGCTACCCGCTGGAAAAAAAAATATGCGCAACGATAATTTTTATCGCGCCCAAGATACATTAAGAAATTCGGTGCATCGTGTTCGACGAAGTTGAACATTTACCTATGCACGCGTAAACACCAGAATCCGCTTCTGTTATGCGGTTTATCTTCAGCGCTCCCTTCCTGCTGATCTTGTACTTCCTCGATCTCCTTAATTCCTTGTTGTCCTTGGTCCATTTGATCTGCGATCTGGAAACGTTGCGATTTTGGCTGGTGCCCTTACCATTTTCATAACTCAAACTTCCTTACAGCCAGAAATATTCGTACTCTCTGTATGTGTATCAAGAATTTTTTCGAAATTAAACGACAGGTTTGATGTTTCCAAGTAAATTTTTCTTTATAAATATAGAGCTTATTCATATACATATTGATAATAGTACATTTATTTGGAAACATCAAATTTAATTTAGATGAATATCTTTGATAGACGTAAAGGACACGAATATTTATAGGACTGGCTGCATGTAAAATGGCATATATTATAAAATAATATGATTGAGACTTGGGTCTAACTCCAATTGGCCCTAAACTACGTAAAAAATGACTTGCGTTTGTTTGTGTTGCTCGTTAGACTATGAAGAAAAAAATTACCTTAAATCTGTCATCTAAAATGTGTCAACATGGTCAGAGATAAAAAAATCAAGAAAAAAATGAAGAGAAACGCCAAGTTTTTAGAGAATAGCGAACTCACTTGTCGAATTCCCTGACAGGACAACGGATCTTGACCGAAAGCGTGCCCTGGAACACCTTGGCCACCCCTCCGATCTTCAGGTTCACTTCTCCGGCTGGGTCCGTTTGATTGTACGTCGTATTTTGGCTGGAGATAATCGGCAACGGACCCGCGTCCATGTTGTGACACGACTTGGTATTGCAGAGCTTCTCTGAGGCAGGCTTTTCAGGCGGGCATTGATGCTCCTCGCGATTTTGCTTGTGCCCTTGGGCCATTATTTGTTCGCAGACCACTTTGCGCCTCTTCACGCCCCCGTTGCAGGGCTTCGAGCACTGAAACACGCCGTCGATCGCGTCTGATCCTCTTATATACATTTTATACGATCATTTCTGCCACTGTTATTGACATCGATCTCTCAAATTGGAGTTTCACATTCTTCCACATATAATGTTAAATTATTTAAAAGCAGTATTCCTTTAACACGTTGACTGCCAGACGCATTTGACGTGGTTCGACCATGGCGCCAACATGAATTTTTCATTATGCGACGTATATTACGTTAAAATATTATCTACAGCAGATAAGGTGAATTATGTAATGGTGTTAAATGCATTTTTCGTAGTGGGAGTCACTGGTGACCCTCGATGCACTGTAGACCATTTTTGCGATTATCGGTTGTCTTAAACTGTTGCAAAATCTGTTACGGAAAAAATTTTAAACAGCTAAGGAGAACGAGAGCAAAGAATTGCACTAAAAGAATGGCGACGTATTGTGCCGACTGTTTTGGTCCACCTTTTCTTTGCCTACCATGCTTCAATGTAACTCATCGCCGTGTGAAACAAAAATAGTATGTATATTTTCCTTGTATTAATAAAATTATTATTTCATGTTCTGTATGCATTAATTTCTTCAAACCACTATAATAACAATGGTATTATTTAAAAATTTATCGGCATCGATATATACTCTAATTACGGATTCTTACTATTGGTCGCGTCGTCGGTCATCAGTGGGCTCCACGGCGCAGCAGCCAAATCGAGCGCCGGTCACTGGCGACCCCCACGGCAGTCAACGTGTTAACTACGTTACTAAGCGTAAGTAAGTTACTTAGGTTTAGAGGTAAGGTCGAAACACTCTCAGAACGAGGTTCTTACTACTTTGGTTTATTTGGTAATTAAAAACGGTTGTGATTATTTAACCGATTCGCTCTGGTTACGAATAGATTTGTCAACACAAGGCTAAGGTGACTCGAGCAAACGCACACATTAATATAAAGTTCCCAGATACCACAATTATACTATAGTAATTAGACTATACTAATTTTCATTCCGATCCAACTGTTCTCTTTTAAAGGATAAAAATGATAGAGGTCTGATTTTGTACCGAAAATACCAGGCAGTACTCGTAAGGCGGGAGAAAATCCCGCTAACGCGATTTCGGTGGTTGTTAGGGGATCGTTTAATTCACCGAACAGAGAAAAAGTACCTTGCTCCATTCTCCCGTGCTCCATTTAATCGGGCAATCCAATACGTTGCAATATCGTCTGTCGGCTGGCTGCGGCTGCGGGCACATGTGGTTTGGCACTGACTGTATCTTACCTGTGGAGCTGCGTGTCACCTCGTGCACGCACGTGACTTCGCGTGTCTGTATACCGATCCCGCACGAACTCATGCACGGCGAGAAATCGCTGTAATTCCACCTGCGGGCAGAAATTAATCGCGGTAATCAGATTCAGGGTGATGATGCTTGTAACTGTCCAGAAGAAGAATTTTTAGAGGTCCGTGTTGGATACCTTACACGTTGTGGTTTTCGAAAACAAGCGTTTACTATAGGATGTAGGATATTTTTTTAATATATTGACCCAAGTTTCAAATTTGATAGTGGAGTTTTAAATGAAATTGTACTCTTGCAATAGGTTTGATTTTAATATTTGGCTGTATGTATGTTACCATTGCGTAATGTTCTTTTGAACACAAGTTAAAAAAATAAACTTAGCGAAAATGTTGTCCGAGACTTAAGGAGATATTATCTGAAAATCCCAACCAATCAGAGCACGAGTACGTCGGTGGAGCGCCCGCGGTAGCGTAGGCTATGTGCCAGGCGGCCGCAGCAGTATAGGCTACGCGATAGGCGGCCACAGTAGCATAGAGTACGTGTTAGGCAACCGCGGTAGCACAGGCTACGCGCTAAACAACCGCGCGCTGTTTGGTCGAGGTTTTCTGTTAATATCTCTTGAACAAAGTCTCGGGCAACATTTTCGCTAAGGAGAAAATTGTTATAAATAACCTCCCGAAATACTCCTTTCAAGGACCTCCAACATTTTTGAGACACCCTGTATATAATTATATCGTGAAATATACACAAATGATTACTACACAATTTACAATATAATATAATAAAATGGTACAACACGACGCAAATAGTATCTAATAGACGAAGATAAAAGAAGAAGAAAAAATATACATGTCGAACTGAGTAACTTCCTCCTTTTCGAAGTCGGTTAATAAAATGGACTATTTTTCCTAACGTAAGTTAATCTTGGTTACCTTGGAGGGCAAGAATGATCGTTGCAGACCCTTGTCCTGGCTTCCGGCTTGGTTTCGGCGGTGCAGAGCAGAGGCATTACGGTTTTGCCCGTGTCGTCCCGCACGCAATTTATTATCAGATCCTGAAAACCTGGAAGATCAAAGGGAACTGTCGATATCGCGATCCACGAATGGATCCTGAGCTTCGCAGAGCGTCTTTGACACTGGCATCTTTGTCTTTGCTATCGGTCTAAGGAGATGGCTATCGTTCGACTTTAATTCGTCAGTTCGATGCAATCGAAATCGGGTGACTCGGTTGCTAAGCGCTGTTAATTGCATAATCGGGTTGAATTATCCCGGATAATTAAGCGCGTAACGCGGAACGAACGCGGTTTCCTTCCGTTAATCCCACCTGATTTGATCGTTGAAAATCGACTGTCGACTGAAGTCGACTGAATACAGTATTCGACGAACGGGGGAGGTGGTTACGAATGGTTACGCACCGAATAGATCCGTTAAAGGATTTTCCGAGCGTCGAGTACGACAGTCGAAAGACTAGCTCACGATTCGAGGATTGATTCATAGAATTGGCAATAATCTCGCATCAGCTATTCTCGGTTCGCTCTTAATCCACGAACAGAACTGTCAGGAAATTATAAAGCGGCGACTGACTTGCAACAGAACGCTGTAATGTAACTGCTCGGCACGAATTTTACGGTTCGACACCAACGTTACATTACAAGGTCCTTTTTGAAATCACGAATACTCGTTTCGAACTCTCGGCTGAATTCTCTCTTAATGCTTCCTTCTCAGCAGTTCAGTGAAAAGTAGACGATCAAAGAGGTTCGTCAAAAAACCTACAGACCAGCGGAGCACGGTCGAGCGCGAACCGAGCGCAAGAACGGCACGATTCGTCGCTCGCTAGTCCGTCCAAACTAAGCGAATGCTTGCGTTACATTACAATGTTCAGTTGCAAGTCAGTCGTTGGTTTAAGACGCTACTGAAAACAGTTGACGGATGAAGCGAACATATGAAAGTGGGACATGTTACATTGAACCTGGAGTTTAAAATAATTAAATGTAAGGACATTTGGTGGCTAGGTATAGGTACACTTTAATGTCCATCAGGTTAAGACTTACGTTACATATACATAGATTTCTTGCAATGGAGATTAGATTGACTTAGGTAGGATATAAAGTATGAAAACGATAAGTAAATATTTCTACTTAGTCTTCAGTTATGAATGATTTAATGAGGTAATGCTTACTAATTGTTATGGCAATAGGCAATCTAAAAATCTATGTACGGTTATGCCATATGCATTTTGTATCTTCTATATCAGCGACACATTAAAGTGTTTTTATAACCAAAACCATCCAGTGTAATCTTTTAGAGTACTACAAATCCCTGCGATATGATTGAACGTAAATTCACGGAATTCATTTCCTAACACTTTACACTCATCAAAAGTTTATCAATATTCCAACTTATAGTAGAATTCTCACAAATTTAAGTCACAAGTAAAAACCTAACAAAGCATCTCAACACACTATAGCATTTTCATCCAAGTCCCCTTCATCTCTATTTTATACTATAAACGATCCTACTGTTAATCACCATCGCATAGTGGTCTAGCGGTCCGCTTTTCGTAGCCAAAATCTAATTTCTCAACTTCAACTTTACAGAGAAAGTTTTTTTAGCACAATTTTTCAGACATTTCTGATGATCTGATAATAAAATGTTTCTAATAAAAGTTGATCAGTATCAACAGCTTTACAAATTCCAGTATAAACAATAACACAAATTTTTTTTTTAAATGAATAATTGAGACCACTTCGATTTTTTAAACGTTAACATATATTTATGACTTCATGATATTGTAGCAGGTGTCGAGACGAATTCAACGACCTATGACAATACAACCTTAAATCTTTAAATAACGCTAAAATAATTTTGGCCACGAAAAGCAGTGCGCCGGACCACTGTGTATATTAGGAGCTGAATTATAATTACAAAACGAGGATCGCTCACCTCCAAGGCAAGTGGCGGTGCAAGGTGTGTAACCAGCCTGCTTCCACGAGTAGGTGGTCTGCACGTCGCTTCCTGGGGCGACCTTGATGCTTCCGTCGTAGCCACTTCCGCCAGAACTGCCTGCAGAGGACCTGTAGGTGTCCGTCAAGCTGGGCTCGGCGTATCCACTGTCGCCAACAGTGTCGATACCGTAAGACAGGCTGTTCTCTATCATGTTGCACGGCTCCATCACGCACTTCTCCACTTTGCTCGGTTTCGGGCCCGAGCACTGTCGATCCGGCAGGTTAGCGATGGTTCGACTGAACTCGAGGAATATCTTGCAACGGACGTCGCGGTGCCTGGTGCCCTCGCCGCAGGTGACGCTGCACGGCGACCATTCGTCGGCGATGAACCTGAAGGGTCGTTCGATTGATGACTCGCGTTCGAAATCGCGTTCCTTTCATTTTTCGAGCCTTTCTCGGAGTTTCTCTGTGGTTTTTGTCTTGGTTAGGATTCGAACTGAGGATTCGCTTCGAAATACCACGAGTTTAGTGTTCAGTTAAGCTGACGGGACGGTTTTGTGATATAAACGGTTATTACTTTGGTAACTAAATATTTTTGTTGACATCCAAAAGACCTTGAGCAATAAAAATGTAAAAGAAATCTATTTTTTTTATCCCAAATAAAAGAGTAGCCTCTAACCCTTTGCACTCGAGGCCTTTTTTTCTGGTATCTGTCAGCAACTCGAGATGCTTTCTTAGCATTTTAGTGTCACGAATGCTAAGCTTACATTGAATTCGAAAATGAGATCTCTAATTTGAGATTGAAAAATCAGGTCACCTTTGCCTCAACAACAATAATTTTATTGACACTTCGAGTTCCAAAGAAATTAAACCTAAAGGAAACCTAGTGGTGACTGAGAGTCACCTCTCGAGTCCAAAGGGTTAATTCTCTGTTGTAGACTTCGTTAGAGCTTCGATGCTGATTTAGTTTACGATTTAAACAAGTTCTGGAGCTTTGTCAAGTAATTAATTGTATGTAAAAATAGAAAACGTAATTGGTATCGGCACTGATTATTCCCAATTGAAAATTTTATTTGGCGTCCACAGCAGGTAGTGCCTACTTTGATAAGCATTGCTAGAGAAGGTGACTCTGAATTGTAAAACTATTAATTATTAGGAGAAAGGATAGACTTCAACAGGCTCTCGGAGGTGTCCATGCCACGCAGAGGTCAGGAATCACGAAGCCAGGACTCGCGAAGTCGTTCAGAATTCCCGAAGTTTTACATAGAATGCAAAATCCTGATTTGAATTCTTTCTTTCTCAACGGTCCGTCAAGACGAGACAAAACACAAAGGGAAGACAGAGTTCGCACTGAACGCGTCCGAGTATTCGACGATTTCTTTCTTTATTCTCGAGTCAAACGTCACGTACGATGTAGACTTTATTGGACTCCTTTGGCTATTCGTAGCTCATAAAGCGACGTGTACGACCGTCCCCGTCATCGATTGGAATCGTATAAATAACAGGCGGTTATTTCAGAATTACGTTCGAGCTTTCGCCTTTCGCTCGTTTTTTTCCACCGTCGAGATTCGAAACCGGTGATATTTATTCGCAGAGGTGCCCGTTTTCGTCTCCCAATCGATGATTTTTATCTCTAACGACGCTTTTAATTGGAGAGAGTGTCTTGATCGCCACGCTAATCGAACTACCCGTAAAGATTGCGTTTATCTCGAAATATAGAGTTTAATGTATTCTTCGATAAGATATTCTCGTTTCCAAAGCTGGAAACAAGACGCGCAGCAGATCCTCGCGAAAGGGTCGTAATTCTCGTCGAAGAATCTGGCCGGGGTACTCGTGTAAAATTCTCCAGTCGGCCAACGGAGAAGGGTTGCGGGGGAACAGTTCTAAGCTATAAATTATGCATGCTAAGCCTACCGGGGTTACCGCGGAATAACGCAAGCCGGAAAACTGTGAAAACATCGTCGGGAAAAAGGAGGGACGGTAACAGTCTACGTTAACATTATCATCGTAAGTCTATGCTAATACTTGTTCTACGGGCATTCGCGTTATGAGCTAATTAAATCACGGTAAATCTCGTAATCTCATAAATGCATTAGGAGCAAAGAGCCAGGAAAAAGTTAGCCGAAAGAACGAGCAGGGAGGGAAAAGGGATTATGCCCGACCCCTCGAATTTAAGCGGGGACGGAGGATTCGAGTTGGGAAACTGTTGTGCGTCAGCAGAAAAGTGAGCCCCTGTCGCGGCCCGTGGAAAAACTATTTTTCGCGGATCATGGAGATTCCCACTCGCGTCCGAGACGAACGGCGAAAAGAAAAACACAGGCCGAATTATAGGGCTAATCGTACTTTTGCAATATTCTTGCTGACGCACGATAGAGACCAGCGAAAAAGGAAGTGTGCTTTTAAAGAGTATTGGTTTACTTAGGTCAAAGTAATTGATTTTGTTCTGTATAGATTGAAGTTTCGCTGATAAGGAAACATCGGTGAGTGACACGCTCCGATTTTGATGAAACTTGGTGCACTTGGTTTTTTTTTTATTGTGTTTTTATAGTTATATTCACCTCACAGGGTTATTAGCAACTACATGAATTTCTGGTACGTCTAAATTTGGGTGAATAGTTTTGTTTGTTTAAGGAACATGATCAAGTTATTACAATTTTCAATTGTACTGGTGGCGTTTTCGATTTTTTCATGGATTTTGAACTTTCTTCTTTCTCGTTGGTACTTGACGCAGGAAGTGATGATGTGTTCTATTGTGTTCGGCGTGTTGCAACTGGTACATGTAGGTTTTTCTTTATTTTTGATTAGATGAATATAAGTGAAATTTGTGTGTCCTATTTTCACTCGGTCAATTACTACTTGTTCTTTTTTTTTTTGAGTGTTTTGGACGGACTGGTTTCGTAAAAGTCTTTCCTGATTCTGTGTATTAGAGTTTGACAGGAGTTTTTCCATACAGTGTTCCATTTATCTTGAATGGTCTTGATGGTACACTTGTTTGTGAGACCTTCCAACGAAATGCACCATCTTCATTTCGTGCCACTTTTGCGTTTAAAGGGAGAAACTACCCCTTCTGTCTGAGCAGCTTTTTTTACTTCTGCATTTATAACTCGGAAATCATAAAAGATACAACAAAAATGTTCAAGTAAACATTGCACTGTTTTTAGAGACCAATAAATCGGTACCAACGAATTTTCAGAAAGAAATTTTTTTTTTTCAAAAATGAACCACCTCCCCCTGAAATTTTTGAAAATCTTAATTTATTTCAGGATCGGTAAAAACGTTTTTTTATTCTGAATTCAACGGTGTGTATGAGTTTATGATTATCTGGCATGAACTGAAGATGATGCACTTCATTGGAAGGTCCCACAAACAAGTGTACCAAGTTTCATCAAAATCGGAGTGTGTCACTTAATTATTAATTATAACGCAGTTAAGAAATTAATTATTGTTAAGAATGGATGAAAATACTTTTTTTTTCAGTAAGAAATTTGATAACAATCCCTTCAGGAACTATTGCATGGGGAAATAAAGAACTGTCCCTGGTTAAGTCCTGGTCTTGGATGAAAAGAGCGGCTAAAAGGAAGTGTGCTTTCACAGATTATTAGTTTATTCAGGTTAAAGAAATTGATTCTGTTCTTTATAGATTGAGATTTCTCCAAGCGTTTTATTCGTGGTTCTCTTGAAATTCTATAATTATAACGCAATTCCGAAATTAATTATTCTAAAGAATGTAAAAAGAATCTTCCTTTTTAATAAAAAATTTGTTATCAACCCCTTCGTACCCTATTGCATTGGGAAATACCTTGTCCAGAGATGGGAAGTTGGCTAGTGGTTCAGAAGCGAAACGTTCGATGGAAATCCCAACTGGCAAGAAGGGTGGCAGGGGCCGAATGCTTCTAAAACTCGCTTAGCTTTGATTTCGCTCAAAAAAGAGGAGCGTCGTCGGACTTCGCGGCTCTGCGGTGAGTTACACAAGCGTGCGGGGAATCTACGAAACTACCGACACGCTGAGAAGAGGGATGGAGGGGGGTTAGTGGCTCGGTAACAAAGAAAAACAGAGAAAAATTCGCCCAACGGGTGGAGGAGAAGAGCAAACGTCGGTGTGCTTTGCACCGTCTGGAGGCGTGTAGCGTTGGGAGTTCGGGAAGCAGGGGTTGAAGGGGTTCTGGCGGAGACACGGAAGCGGAGGGAGGAACGTTAAGAAAAAAGAAAAAAAGAAGAGAGAGAGAGAGAGAGAGAGAGAGAGAGAAGAATCGAAGAAGAAACAAAAGGTAGACAGAGAAGAAAAAAGAAGTTAAAGTGATAGAAGAAAGAGACACAGTAATGGGATACCTCAGATACAACCAGCCACAGGCAAAGTAGTTCGTATATCTGTCGGGACAGACCAATTGACGTCAAGAAATGAATGCTTTTAAGATGGAAAGATGTCTATCTAGCTCTGTTTGTACATGTTTCGTGTGTTAAGGGCAAGCGACGTTAAGCTCTAAGACATCTATGCAAACGACGCTGAGACAACCGGGCCAGCTGAGCGTGTGTCGCGTGTTTCATATGTCTGTTTATCAATTTTTCGTCGGCTACTCACGTGGATTCCGAAGGGATGGGCTGGTCGATCAGCTTCTCGGACACTGGCGGGGGTGGGTACGGTTGCATCAGTGGCTGCGTCATCTCGTCGCCGACTGAACACAAACATTCGCGTTATTTATTAAGGATGTGTTTAATTTTATAGAAAATTTACTCTCACATTTACAATTCTCATAATAAAGACATTTATTTAACCCATTCACTCCTTACTAAATAGATTTGTAGTTATTGGAGATAGGAATTATTAGAGAGGATGAACGAACATTTTATGGAATAATATTTTTTCTCGAAACAGCAATTTTAATATCACTTTTTATTAAAATAACGATTTAATCTTGGCTGTATTAAATCTTTTCCTTGAAGTAAAAAAATAAGAAATTGAACTTTCCTTGAAGTAAGAAATGATTTTACTAAAACGAAAATAAATTAAACGATCAATAAATTAATGTAGCTAATAATTAGACTGCGGAACGCGCCTACAAAAATTGAACCTAAGTAGGAATTTATTTTATTCTACAAATATTACAACATGAACGTTACTTTCAATCTTTTTTATATTCTTGCATATTGTTTGCACTGTGTAGGTTCTTTTCCTTGAAGTAAAGAAATTAATTAATTCTTCCTACACCGTTTCCAAGAGAATATGGCCCAATCATCGCAATGAACGTTCCAAACACAAAAGTTACACTGTAAATATCGCAAGAGAAGATTAGAATTATTCCAAGGAACGAGAGTTAGGAAAATATGCGGGCTTGTCTAGTTATTTTGATTGGAGGATGGAGCATCCCCTAATCCAGCACACGGTTGAGTTGCACGATTCTGCGCGGCACGAGGATTTCGAGGAAGGCGGTTTGAAAATGGGGCACGGGAACGGTGTTCGACGCTGGTGCATAGGAATGGCGACTTATAAAACTTACATATCGGACAGACGATGTTTGTCTTGCACTCCTGTTTGGCGTAGGGCCGTTCGGAGGGATCGCAGTCCTTCGAGATGGAACCAACCCCGTCTCTGCACTCGATTGTCCTCGTTCTGATGCCGGTGCCACAGGTCACGGAACACTATCGATCACACACCACGAAAAAGTAAATTTCATGCTGCCGGAGAATTCCTTCGAAACGAGAACAATGGAAACATGACACGGTGGAGGAAGCCTGAACGCGATCGGAACAGTTAAATCGTAGCTACCAGGTAGTTTCGTGTCTTTCTGTAATTTCCAAGAATTGGTAAGCCCTTAGTTTTACTTTTCTTCTATTTGTGCCCGGTACAACTTTTTAATGAATTTAAAAAATATGGAAAGAAAATGGTAGGAAACTTGAGCCTCGAAATACGTAGTTTTTTTTGTAAATGAAACATAGGCGTTTACTTCAAGGTGGTCAACGTGTATCGTTCGTGCATGGAACTATGGCCTAATCGAAAATTCTATCACGAATTCGTCCGTTCCACCTGGGACGACCTAACGAACGTTGCGCCTTCCAAATAAAATCCCCCATCTCGTGAGATCGTTGAAACTAAACGTCCCGAAATTGAAACATTTTACACTCTGTTTCATTTTCGAGCCTTTTCTTTCGCGGAATGTGAACAGCTCGTGTCTTGGGTCGAAAGGGTGGAGAGAAAGGCGGAAAAGGGAGGAAGAAAAAGAGCACGGGTCAAGATAATACTCCCCGGCGCAGGATAAAGTCCATAGAAACGTAGAGCACGGTGGAAACGCAAAGAAAAGGCAGAGCGAAGGAACAATAAACCCCCGTGACGCTACTGTAGAATCTAATTTCGTATACTAAGTGGTATTTGCAAGGTTCCGTTCTAACGTTCGACAGATTTAAAAGATCCTTCCAGGGCAACTCGAAACCTCGGAGATCATTATCGTAGCGAGGTATGGCGTGGGAGGTCGAAAAGAAACGGGGACGAACGCCAAGGAAAATCGGAGGAGATCCGAGAATACGAGATTTGTGCGCACCCAGTTATGAGACTACCTCGGTGTTTATCAATCGTCCTGCGATCTTAATAATTTCAGTTTTAATTTAATAAAGGGACCTTTCGTTTCTGTGGATTTTTCTGGCACTGTTGATAATCGCCTTTCAAAACTAAGGACAGTTCGAGGCTTGAAAACATCTTTTATGACGAGCCTAATTTAGAGACTAATAGAACAACAAAATTAGAATTAAATAAAAAAAAAAAAATGTAGCTCTGCTGTAAATAGTTTTATACCTAATATCGATTTAAAGAAATTAGGAAAATGTAAGTGAAACTGGGAAGACAAGAAAAACATTTTTTTTGTATTGAATAATAGGAAAATGAAAGCCTAGGTACATGTCAAATTAGAATGAGACTTACTTCATTCTTTCAAGCTTCAAAAGCGCTGGTTATGGTATCTTAACCCTTTCGATCCTAGATCCGGTTGCCATTGGCCACATTAGAATCGAGACTCACAGGAATATATGTTAAAAAAACAAAATGAACGTCATTTACAGTGGAATAAATTGTCCTCTTTTAACTGTCTTTTGATCCGCGGCCAATCCTACTTTAATACACTTAATTTTAAAAAGAGAAACGAATAGAATTCAAATATTAGGGTGAACAAAAGTGTGTGCATTTTGTACGTTGCTTCAGTTTGTGCAATTTTTTGATGATGAAGTTACCGAATATAATACTTTCTTTCCTGCTTCAGTAGTGACGTAAAAGTACTCAAATTTCAAAATTTTCCATAATTTTATTAAAACGAAAAAAAAGAAATTAAGCGATCAATAAATTGATGTAGCTAATAATTAAATATGAAAGAGCTTTTCAAAAGCTACGAAATGGTATATGAGATTTACATACAAATAATTTTAGTGACATAAAAAAATCGCACAAACTGAAACAACGTAAATAAAAATGCACGAACTTTTGGTTCCACCCTGATAGAGGACTATACCGAAAGCAGAGCCGAAAGGGTTAAAGAACGATACAAACGATTAATAACAATATAAATTCCTCGCAACGCTGATAAACCCTCGCTAAAAAAATTCACGACTCCGGTTTCCAAAGAGGAACCGTGCAATTCCAGTCAAATTTTTCGCAGACCTCGCCGCATTCGTCCAACGTACGAGTTTCGCTTCCAGGAGACGAGCGTGGCATCGAACAAATTTCGTCCGCGGGGCGTTGTAAATCCGGAAACAAAGCTCACGGGCGAGCCTGACCTCTTTGCTTCCCGTCACGGAAGACACGAAGTAATTGCTTCTGTTGATCCCTTCTGACGTAGAAACTCTTCTTTTCAGCGGCCGCGTACACGAGCTGCGAGGCATCGCGGGAACGCAGCGAGGCGCGATTAATACAATGAAAAAGCCTTTCTGATTAAATTTCCTCGCGTGCGGAATTAGCAAGCTAGGAAGCCAAGTAAATTCCCGATCGGAACGAGCGGTGCCACTGGATTTGATTAGCGTCGGAGGAAACGCGATCGAGATCCCCATCGCGGCATACTGATTCCCTGTGCTGCTTTCTTTTTTTTTTTTTTCATCATGGCACGATCAGATTCGATTTTACGCGGGCACCCGAATAACGAGCGACGAGGGGTGCCATTTTTAACGCGTTGGTTCGCAGGTAGACGTCTCGAAGGCACCTTGGTGGCCTCAAACTTCTCTCGACGAGAATAAAGTCCGTTTGATCGGGAAAGTAAGAACCTGGGGGAGGGTTGAGCGGTTTAGAAGCGAACGAGTGAGAGGGACGAGGAACAAAAAGCCCACGGATGCTGGGAGCTATCGTTCAAGACGTCGAAGGTGGAAAGGTAACACGAACGGAAAAGCGGAAACCTGCTCGACTTAGGCACTCTGCCTTCTCTTTTACCACCTCTATCGGTGTTTGCTTCTGCCACCCCCTCCCCCGCGCCTCTAACCCCGATCACTCGTTTTTACTTGTGGCCTTCCTCGTCGAGTGTCTTCCCGTCGATTTCATCGCCATTTTATCTTCACCCTTTTACTTCGATTTTATAGGGATTTTTTTTTTTTTAAATATTAGGTTGGTAAGAAATTAATGTCGGTTTTCGAACTTTGACGCTTGGTTTTGGGATAACAGTTCGCTTTATTCTATTTACGTTGCTTTCGTTTTGCTTTTGTTTTTACTGTTAATTTGTCTTCACTTCGCAGTTATTTACTTCGCAATGGATACTGAGCAAGTTCGTCTAATATTCTTATATGAATATAAACTGAATAATAAAGCTGCAACTGGGATTCGTAATTTTAACGATGCATTTGGCATCTTCAAACATCTCGACCACTACTTGCAAGGAAAGATACTTACCAATCGAGCAGCTGCTGAAAATGCGATCAAAGAATTTATCAATTCCAGAACAATAGAATTTTATGCTATATTGACTGTTCGTTGGTAAAAATGTGCAAATCGCACTGGATCTTATTTCGATTAAAAAAATGTTACTCCAATTTGTGATACGTGGATTTAAATATATAGTTTGACAACTGAACATAAATTTCATGAATAAATGTAATGGTAACGCGTAGACTGCGGATCTTTATGGAAAACAGATTCTTAACAAACGTACCTACAAAAGCAGAATCTAAATAGGAATTTATTTTACTCTATAAATATTGCAGTACGAACTTTACTTTCAATATTTTTTTATGTTATTCCATACTGTGCGCATTCTGTAGTGTCTTGCGCATTAAAATTTCCTCTAAATACATAAAAATTCGCAGTCTAGTAACGCGTCATTCTCATATTCGATACCGGAACAATGCGTGAAATGTATAATGGGTTTAATAGATAGGTTTAATAATACCGCATTGAACGACACTGAACGCGCACGGTAGACTGACTCTAAACAGAAAGGCTCATTTTGTGTCTTCCGTAATGCGTAATATTAATTAGGAGTAATAATGAACGCAGTCATTGTCTACCGGTTTAATTCGTTATAATCTTGTGAAGCTCACCATTGTTTCACTTGTTTCGATATACCCTAGGAATAAAATGGTTCCAGCTTATAGTTATTTTTATATTTCATACTTATACATTACGTATATTTCATTCTATTTACATCTGCGTTAAAGTATAAGCGCGACGTTGGTAAATAATTAATATGCCTCGAAATGTCAAGTGAATATTCATGTAGAACTGTTTATTAAATCGAGTTTACTTATAAAAATAAAATATTCCCAAATTTTCTGTTGTCCCGGATTAATTAACTTCCCCTAGAAATCAATGCCAGTGGACACAATGAACACCCTGTATACACTACTTCTTTACTTCGCCAAACAGTCCTCCTTCCTTTTCAATCTCTATTTTTCCCTTTTCCTTTCAGTTTCTTTTCGCCCCACTTTGTTTTCGCTTCACCTACTTCGTCTTTTTTTTCTCCCCGTTTCCGCCCTCTGTTTTCCAACTTCCAGCCATCTCGATGTTTCCCCTGATACCCCCTCGCCCGTTCCCTTCGTCGTCCCCCTACCCCGGCGTCTTTCTCAGAGCGTTCCCTACTCTCCATGGAAGTTCGAGGAGGAAGTCCGATATCGCAGGGAGTGCTTTAAGGAGCCCCCGTGCTTTCAGTTCAATATTTGCATGGCTCCTGAGCTCACAAAAGAGAGAAATCTATCAATTCCTGTCTTCGAGGGGCGCAGGGGGGCGGTTCTCTTGCTCTTCGTCTCTCCGGGGCTCTGGATGAAATCATTACTGTACTGACGGGTATAAGAGGCTGCCTTTATGTATCGCTGGCGAAAGGATACCGACGCCGTCTCCTCGCCCCTGGCAGCCCTCGCGGTTTCCTCTCGTCAAGGCGAGCCCAAGGCCCATTGTGCATCGATCAAGTGCGAGATGAGCCGTAAATCACAACCACCCAAACTTTTGCTTACACGTGACTAAGGATACTTTCGTCGCTCTACCCGGTGAATCCTGTTTACCGCCCTTTGTCGTCGGGGATGATAAGGAGGAGACGTATCCTTAGGAAAGTCCTGGTCACCAACTTCTCGAGAAGTTTCCGGGAATCGATTTATGGCGCTCTAATTCATTTTTATTCTTTCCTTTTCTCCGATTCACTTTTATATAACTAGACTGCGGACCTTTAAGTAAAATAAAAGGTTTT